GGACTAAAACAAGGTAGAATTGTAAAAATAGGACTGCTATGTTTTATTCGACAAAATTAGGACTAAAAAGAGGTAATCTGACAAAACTACCCTTTCCAATTGATCGCCACAATTCATCTGACCGCAATTAATCTTTCGCGATTCTTTGCTCTATCATGGCTATGCTCCCCATCGATCGTAGCCTCGCAGCGCCATAGCTCTGCCATAAACGACCTCTGCTGCCATTGAGGACCTTTGCCATCGACGACATCTGCTGCCATCGAGGACCTCTGCCATCGATGAACTCTTCTTCCTCTTGTTCTTAGTTCTCTGCATTGATTCTTCTTCTTAGTTCTCTGTTTTTGTTTTAATTTTTATCAATCAAATTTTCAATAAAATTTTGAATTTTGAAAGTTTCAAATGAGGAATGATCTGAAATTGAATTTCTTGTTATCAATTTTGATTATTTTGAATCTCAAAATGCTCTGACTAATGATTCCAGAAAATGTCACTTTTTGAATCAGAAAATGTCATAATTATTGGGTATTTTTACAAAATGTCACTTTTATGTCATTACAATATTTGGGAATGCCATATTGAGAATGCCATGTTTCTATACGAAATTGTCATTATTGTCATATTAAGTGGCATTCTTAAAACATGTCATTTGCATATGGATAACATGTCAGTTTCAAGCTATCCTTACATGTCATATAAAAAATAAACATGTCAATTTTTAAAATACGACATCTTGTGTACTGTGATGTTAAAATAAAGTTGGCATTTTGGAATAGAAAGATGACATTTACAGTTATTATAACATGTCATTTATTTTTAAGTGATGGAATTTTTGAATTAAAATGTCTAAAATAATTTGTAATTTAAAAGAAACACAAAACAAGAAGAAAACAGAGGGGAGGAAGAAGAAGAACAAGAAGCAGAAGGAAGAGAAGAAGAAGAAGAAGAAGAAGAAGAAGAAGAATACCTGATTTTGCTGGAGAAATCGTTGAAAAGGTGGTTCTCGGCGTCGAGCAGGCAACTCCAATGAAGAGGTGGCGGCCGGCGTTGAGCAGACGGCTACGATGATGGCTGTTGAGTTGCGATCGAAATAGGTCAAGCTGCATCCATGGAACCTCAATCAGAAGAGGAGGGCTGAATCGCAGGTGCAGGATCGATGGAAGAGGGATTGGGGAAACATGATTTTGGTATTAGGGGTAAGAAGGTAATATGGAGTCCTATTTAAGCAATTTAAAACTTAAAGTCCTACTTTGGAGTTTTAACCATGTTTTAGTCCCATTTAGGATAATTTCTTTTGTTTAAAATATTGACATGTTTAAAATCTAATACTCCGACGTAATATCAAACATGACAATGATTACTTTACTTAGATAATAAAAACATAATAATCCTATGTTAGAATTTAGACACGTTTTTAGACTAAAAGTGGAGCTTTAGGACTCATAAACATGCACAAAAATGGGTTCGGGTCGAGCTCTTTACAATGTTTCTGCCCGTTAAGTGTGGGCGGGCCCGACCCGCAGAAACGGGCCTAACCCCATGTCCATACCCGCCCATAATAGAAGGCCGGGTAGTCCACCGGGCCGCCCGGTCTGGGAAAACTTAACAAAATTATACTCCCTCCGTCTCACTTTAAGGTTCCCACGCGATTTATGATGTTTGACTGACCATAAAGTTAACTCATCTCTGTCATTAATAGAATTATTTTTAGTAAATAAAATTTACATATTCAGAAACTACATCAAAACCGCTACAAAACCTGCAATAAATAATTTAAATTTCATAAAGATGAAACTTTCGATATATATGAAAAAGATTAAGAACAATGCACGTTGACCGGAGAATAGTGTACGGGAACCTTTAAATGGGACGGAGGGAGTATAATATTTTTAATAATTTAAAAATAATATTATAACATTTAAAAAATTGTAGATACATTTCTAATATTTATAGGCCTTTCACCACATATACAAAAAATACTTACAAAAAAATAATATTGAGAAACTATAACTAAAATTTAAAAATCAATGAAAAAGTATTATCTTTAAGTACAAAAATACACATTATATTGGTTGTTAAGAATTAAAAATTTAAATTTAAACATACTTAACTACAAATACGTGTAAAGATAAATTAGTAAATATAAATGTACTCGCGTACATGTAAATAAATAAATTAGTATGTATAAGATATATGTATATATACTAAATGTAGCGGGTCGGGCATATTGGCCCGAATGGGTCTACACGTAACCCAAGCCCGCCCATATTATACTATTGCATATCGAGGTCGGGCGGGGCTGGTGGGTAAATATATATGCCCAAGCCCACCCATTTAGGGCTCCAAAAGTTTCACTTTTAGTATTTGGACTCTAGATGGGAGGATAAACAGTCCATTTGGTGACCCTATTCTTCGGCTTATCAGATATGTAAATCAACTTTTTCACCAAACATGTAACTTTTGATTGTCCGTTTGAGTTATTTTTCTGACTGTATTGGCTAAGACTACTGTAGATGATTATTTTAGTTGTTTTTAATATTTTTTTCTTTATTTTATTAATAAAATATATTTTAAATATAATTTTTCCATACATCAACAGATCAGTCATTCCATCCACTTCAGCCAAAGATTCATAAATTTCAAAGTGGAAAATACCAAAAGTGTTAAAATAAGTGTTACACCATCGATTTGGGTATTACCAAATCAGTTCTAAAATAAGTGTTAAAAGTGGAAAAGGGGATGAAAAGTTCAAATATAGAAGATGTATTGACAGGGAGAAAACAAAAGAAAAATAAAACCCCTTTTTTATAAAACTCTAATAACTTTTTTATCTTAATCCAATTTTTATTTTAAATAACAAAATTCATAAAAAAATATCTTTCAATTTCATAATTTTCTATTAAAACTGAAAAAACAAATAAAAACTTTTATTTATTTTTAACATCAAAATGTGTAATTTCTTAATTTCATAATTATTCATAAAACAACAAAAACTAACAACACGTATAATAATATGATTAATGTTTTAGTAAACTGGTGTGTATAAAACATGTTGAGTTATTTTACCGAAGATACTGGAATACCGAAAAAACAATAGGGAAAAACAATATTAAAGGAGTCTATACTTGTTTTCGTATCCACTTGTTCATTTTAACTCTTTAAACGAAATGGCGCAAGGGATGTGGAACCGTGGATATCTAAAATAACTAAAACTACTTCCTTCGTCTCTAAATAAACATTCTATTTTTTCACTTCGTCTCTTAAAATATCTTTTTTCTTATTTGGTAAACAAAACAGGTCCAAACATTGTCAAATAGTGCCAAATAGTATTTAAACAGTGCAACAGTGCCAAGAAGTGCCATTTTTTGAAATCTTGTGCAAGTCAAAAGGAACCTTTTTAAATAGGGCCGAGACATTGAAACCAAAAACCGGAGAACCGAACCGGACCGAACAGTTTGATTCCAACATTTACTAGTTACTAGTACTTTTCAGTTTTTAATGGTTCGATTCTTATTTCTTATTAGTAGTTCGGTTCTCAGTTCCTCAAAATTATATGTACATGGAAATGTTAAAAAACTGTTATATATAATAATTGAAATTTATATATTTTTTATTAGTTTATATATTTAAATGTACATTTACTTATTTATTTTTATATTACACTAACTATTTTAGTTTAGTTATTTAAGTATTTAAAACATTATTATTTATTTTAAAGGGTTCTCTAATACTCTTAGGCCCAGGGCCGGCCCACAAGGAGTTTAGGGTGTGCGACCGCACAGGGCCCAAAAAATTGGAGGGCCCAAAATAAATTTTTTAGTGGTAGTACTACTACTCTACTAATGTAATAATGTATGATGAATTGATGAACTAATGAAATTTAACAAATTTGGTTGTTATTTAGAATTATATGTAATTAGTTGATGAGTTAATTGGGATATTTATATTTAATAAAGTTATAATTGTTGCAGCAATGTTTTAAGAACATTTGTTTGTCGATCAATATTTATGTTAGAAAGGAAGGCCCAAATTTTGTTATTGCACAGGGTCTCCATTTTCTCAGGACCGGCCCTGCTTAGGCCTCTTATTAGAGGCCGAGATGGTCGAAATTGAATGCTTTGCTCGTGACCCTTTGAGATGAATGAACTTTTTGCTGCCTCGTTTTGTTGTTGACTTAAGATCATAATTACTGATTGTAGTGAATATGTTGTTTTGTTTTATTTACTAAAATTTTCAGTTTGGTATGTATTTATGTTTCAAAGTCAACTTTTGAGATTTGAAATAATGGTAAACATATTTGTATTTTGGTGAAATTGACATCAATAATCCATACTTTTACACATTTTATAAAAATAATCCCTACTGACAAATTTGATGAAAATAATACCAATGAGTTTATGTTTCACAAAATATTCCAAGTGCTAACGGTGTTAAATTTTCCAATTTTTTTTTAATTTTGAATGTATCAAAGAAAACATATGTATAAAAATTAATAATATTATATTTTTTTTGAAAGCTAATAATATTATATATGAGTGTAATCTTTTTATACGATAAATTTAATTAAATATTTCATGTTTTTCAAAAAATATAATAGAAATATCCATATTAAATATTCAATATTAGACCTGACTTTTATTTTGGAGTAATATTTAATGTAGTATTATTAAAACTAATTTAAAATCTCTATTTTAATAAATAATCAAACTGAATATAAATAAAATATCGACAAAAAATAAAAGAGAGTAGAGAATTTTGAATAGTATGTCTTATATAGTGTTGGAAATATTTCTATTATGTTTTATGAAAAAATTGAATAATAAAATAAAATTTTAGCAGAGACAAGATTAAACTCAAATATAATATTTTAAACTCAAATATAATATTAGCAAGCAGTAAATACGGAGTACTTTGTAATTTGTATGCTTTGAGAAAGACGGGTGACCTCTTGGTCAAAGAAGGTCTATTTGTGCCAGCACCGCCAGCGCATCGATTATGTCATGTTACGCCCACGTGCTTCTTTTCCCTATATAGTGACCTTCTATCACTTTTCTTCTGTTACCTTCGCCCCCGTTATTTCCGGCCTATATTTCCCCCGCTTCTTCTTCTTTCTTCCGGACTGTTTCTCAATCTCCTTATTTGGAACTCTGTTCTTGCATGGCAGTTAGATTTCTGAACCAGCATCTATCAGATCTGTGCTTGGGAAAGCCAGCGCTGAGGCCTGTGAGGGAGACGGCCAGCATAGCGGAGGCTGTGGCCGCGTTGAAAAGGTCCAGCGAGACTTATGTGAGCATATGGAGATGTTCCGATCATTCTAAGGAGGTTCAGCGAGATTGCGATTGCCTCTGTGTCGGGAAGATCTGTATGGTTGATGTGATTTGCTTTCTGTGCAAAGAGGAGAATTTGGGGAAAATTGCTAAGGCTCTGGAAGCTCCGGTTTCTGACATTTTGCCCAAAGGTGTCTCTATCGTCAGGCATCTCGAGCCTAATTCAAGGTTCGCTTCCTCTATTTCTTCCCCGCTAGTTCTGTAATTCATGGTTTGATTGATTTTTTGTCTGGTGGTGACTTGATTCTAGTAATTCGTAGAAACTGCATTGACTTGGGCCGATTTAAATGTCTTATCTCCCGTTCTTGGTGTTCATCATCTAGAATTTTGCCTGATTTTGGATACAAATTTAGAAAGATAAACGATTATGGGCCAAATTGGTACTGGTAAGGGTTATTTATTCGAATTTCATTATCCTGGCAATCTTCAGCAAAATACAGCGGGTAAAATAGAGAGAGATTTGAATTGTAATTTCAATGTGTTTCAAAATATCTTATTCCAATAGAAATCCCTAGGTTTTTGCAACTGGTGAATTTGTTTTTTTCTTCTTCCTGACATCGTATTTTCTATATTCAGCTTGCTTGAAGCCATAGATTGCATTCTTGAAGGCACTCAAAACTTAATCATACCAATACAACAAACCCATATGAACAGTCGTTCAAGAAGAAAGCAACTTTTAAGTCCCTCAAACCACCACGGGGTTGAATACTGTTGGCTGACACAAGAAGACATCGTCCGGTTCATCCTCAATTCCATTGGTGTCTTCTCACCCCTACCAACATTCACCATCGAATCCCTCGGCATAATTAACCGTGATGACATCATGACCATCCACTACCATGAACCTTCAACCAATGCCTTGAACTCTATTTCCCGTGCTCACATCCAACAGACCTCAATTGCTGTTATAGACGATGACGACAACAACAGATTGATAGGCGAAATCTCGCCTTTCACCCTTTCATACTGTGAAGAAACGGTTTCCGCGGCCGTGATGACTCTCACGGCGGGTGATCTCATGGCATACATAGACTGTGGGGGTCCCACTGATGATTTGATTGAGCTGGTGAAGCAGAGGGCTGGAGAGAGGAATCTCAGTGCACTGTTGGGTGTGATTGGGGAGGAAGAGGAATATTCGGTTTCTTCGATTTATTCCTCATCATCGGCGGCTTCTAGCGGTTCTTCTGATGATGAGTCATCGACTTTGAGCAAGAGTGGCGGGTCTGGGAATTATTACTGCTTGAGGAGATCTGAGGCGATTACTTGTTATCCGTGGAGTTCGTTGGTTGCAGTTATGATTCAAGCACTAGCTCACCGGGCTAGTACCATTTGGGTCATTCAAGAGGACCAGAGTCTGGTTGGGATTGTGACTTATAAAGAGATGTTGAGGGTTTTTAGGAGCATTGCCAACCCTCTGCCTAAGACCAAGCCTGATAGAGATAATAATGCTTTTAGGCAATAACAAACAATGACTATTGTTATGCCTACTTGTTTTGCTTGTATCAAGTTTCTTTATTGATAGTATATTCGTATAATATATTGTAAGAGTCGTACCAACCGGATTAATTCACTTTAAATACAATTGTGTGGTGCCTTACATATATGTGTATTACTTTTCCTCTCTTTTTCTTTCATATGGCTATGGTTCAAACTTGCATGTGTTTGGGATGAAAATGGCCATTGGACTGAGAGGTGTGACCTGTTTGGTAGCACTATCCTTGTTCTGCTTACCAAAAAAGACAAAAAGAATTGGTACTTGGTAGATTGATTGATATGTTCCCTGTCAGGCAGATTCAGCCATTTTAGCTTAATAACCATTACCTAAAAGGACCTAAAGTATCGCACAGAGTAGACTGGTAATACAAAGGTGAATAGTTTTTTGAATCTGGTTTATGGAATATAAATGGTGACTGGGGAGCAAGCAAATCTTTAAAGATGGTGAAGGCAACTTAGCTTCTTGACTATAATTTTGTCCTGCCTATTGGTTGTGCCAACTGCACATTTATTTAGAGTTGTGCTACGTACAATTGTGTCCTTGCATTTTTGTTTAGAGTGAGTTGGTGCTTACAACACTTTGTTTCAATTATGGCGGCTTACAAGACTTTTTGGAAGACAATATCTCATTTGCTTCTCCTTAGTGGCTTAGTCCTTACGGCTCATATTCAAGTTTTAATAATGCTTTCTCGAAAATTTTAAAACTACAACTACATATAATAAATAAATATAAATAATTCAATAACAATGCAGGGAAAAAAAAACAATGCATCATCATTCAATGGCAATTGAAGATAAACCAAATGTGTGAATGAGTGATACTTTAAATTATTTGTTAAACTATTAAGTTGAATTATTTGATTTCTTTTGACCAAAAACTCTAAACCACAGCTATATTTTAATTATTGATATTATTCTTCAAATGCATATCTGATATCTAGAAATTAGAAGGCCAGAATATGTAAAACAAGAAATTTGATGTAAAAAATATTAGCTTTCATGGACACCTAGAAAGGTCCTATGCCCAAACATAACAAAGGGCCGCGATGAGAGAGCAAAATACTTGTCTTGCCTAATGGCTAATGCCCTTCACAGATTTTTTTCTCTTCTACTATGAGTCTGACATTAAAGTTTAAAAGTATATCTGCACTTTTCTTGCTTATTGTTTCTCCAGATGGTGATTCATTGCTTGATGTCGTTCTTGATGTTTACTTTGCTATTTTGCTGTGATAAGCCCACCCATGTAATAGCTTAGCTTCTGGCCAGCCTTTTCACCATAGAACTTTTGCACCCAAAGTTTTATTCGGAGTGAAACCAAACGGTCTATGTCAGGGTTAACTTGAAGGTCAGGGTTATTCCAAATTTTATTAGTGTAGTTTTTTCTTTTTCATATTTGGACATCTGCTAATGTTTATCCTAGTATATTTACTAGTCCAATTCAGATTCTTGGATCCGCCCCGATTAAGACTTAAAAAGGTTTTTCTTGTATGGGAAACCCTTAATAGATATACTATTTTCCGTATCATAATAGTTGTAACATTAGAATTTACACACTATTCATGCACTCTACTTTGATTACATTTTATTTATTAATGTATGTGAATTATTATTTTTTGAAAAATATTGTTGGATTCGTCTCATTACAAAATTTCATAATCTGATATTTAAAAGTTTTTTACTAATAGAGAATTAAATATAATGACATTCAACGTTGTGCATTGACAAACGTGAAAAAGGGAATGTTGCAACTAAAAAAGAACGAAGGAAGTAATACGTAGTATCATTTTAGTACACTAGTACATGCCTTAGTGCCGTAGCCACTGCCCTTCTTCACTTCAGTTGAAACACCCATAAGAATAGATACTCTACTTGTTATGAACACATTTAAAAAATGTTATTAGTAAAAATACCGTAGATCAGTACATGGAGAATAGGAGATATTCTTCCTTTATTCCCGCCCATAACATATACTACGTAAGTAGTATCCATTTTTATAGGTGTTTTTACTGAACTGAAGAAGGGCAGTGGCCAAGGGCCCAAGGCATGTACTACAATGAAGTTTCAACTAGAATGAAGTTTAGGGTGCAAATTTCTTTGAGAAACCCATAAAGTTCCATAAGTGGCTTCACGACTCGTCTGCCTTCCAAGTTTACGGTAATTTGGAGATATATATAATTATATAGATGGTGCACTTATCCCCGTCTGATCTATATATCTCTTTATCAAGTGAATGACTGCTTATTATGTCCCTATGCTTACTGCGCTTGGTACAGAAGCATCAAAGGGTGTGTGATCATTGTTAGGTACGAGTGTATTTAAAATTGCTGATCATTGTTACAGTGTTCTTGGCGTTTATGAAGGTATGTCTCATTTCCTAATAAGAAAGATGTCCATTCGACAATTCAAGGTTGATTAGGTTTAGTTAAATATAAGTGGCTTGATGATTGTCATTAAGCACAATGTTCCCTTCTATCCCATAATGATATGAGTTCCAAGTGAGGCTTTCATACAGAGCCGTTTTTTAGGGGGTTCAATAGGTTATTCAGAACAGGGCCCCCGAATTTATGGGGCCCCAAAATTTTAAAAATTATTAATATTTTATACTCCATTTTTCAATAATAGTAAAATTATATATTAATACTAATCAGTAAAACATAGTTACTTAGTAAGGAAGAAAAATATAGAACCATCATTTTTCCCGTTGTTTTTTTTACTCTTTTAGTTCTCTTCTCTTTTAATCAGTATTCAATTGATTTGAGTATAAGTATTTATATTGAGATTTTTTTATTTTTTATATTAATGTGGGGCCCCCGATTTTACATTTTTAACTGGGGCCTCCAAATTCATTAGACGGCCCTGCTTTCATATGAATACGCTCGAAGCCCTGCCTAAACAGACAACATGATGCTTGAGACAATCATAACATTTATATTTAAGTGCCGCGGACTATTTTGGATCGTATTGTGTCCATGGCTAGGATTTTTCTTTGGGGAGGAAAATTCGCCAAGGTGGCATGGGACGACATATGCCTTCCTAAAGAGGAAGGAGGACTTGGTATACGTAATGCTAAAATTTGGAACCAAGCCCTTCTTTCCCGTACTCTTTGGGACGTCCATCTTAAAAAGGACACTCTCTGGGTTAAATGGGTAAATGGCGTATATCTCAAGGGTAAAAATGTGTGGGAATTTATCCCACATAGCCGAGATTCGACTTTTATGAAAAATTTGGCCTTGATTAGGGACAAGATTAAAGGTTGTTTTAATAATCAAAATGACACCATAATGGGTTTAGCTTCTAGATCCAGTAATGGAAAATTAATTTCAAGCAAGATTTATGAACTTTTGAGAACTAAGGGGTCGGTCCGGGTATGGATGAGTTTTATTTGGAAATCATATATTCCTCCCAAGTTCTCATTCATGGCATGGCTTGCTTTTAGAAATAGGCTACCTACGCAAGATAGCCTCGGATATATGCATATAGTTAACAGATGTGACCTTTGTAAGGGTGACTTGGAGACAATGCCACACCTCTTTTTTCTTTGTCCTTTCACTTGCAGGATATGGGGAAAGATAAGGGAGTGGATGGGCATGGACAACCAAATGACCACACTGCAAAGCTCGGTCAAATGGATTCTCAAGAAGTGCAAAGGCTCAACCTTGAAGGCGAAGGCTACTCGACTTGCATTCTGTGCAGCGGCATATCACATATGGCGGGCGAGAAATGCATGTAGATTTGATGAAAGCATAGTGACCGAAGATGAGGTCATTGCGAAGATTAAACATGTGGTGTATAAGATATTATTTTCCTTGTACCCGCATGAATTGATCACTTTTTGACGTGGGGAGGCTAGTTGCATACGAAGAAGGCGCGGCATTCTTATGGTTGCACATGGCGACCCTCTTGAAGTTTTTGCACTTTTGGTCTTTTGTTTGATTTGATCTATTATGATCTGTGTGCGTGCATCTTTGGCAGCACCGATGTTGTTTTGACTGTGGGACAATTTGGTATTATGTACTTAGGCCCCTTTGGTTTTTGATTCCAAATAGATCAAATAAAAACCTCTTTTTACCCCTACACTAGGTAGGGGTGAGGGGGGTTTTAGGTGATCTAGAACCCTTGATGTATAGTTTTCTTTGGGTGTTAATACAAATTTACATTTCATCCAAAAAAAAAAAAAACATTTATATTTAAACTATATTCACTTTGAGTATATGCAAACGTGATGCTTGAGACAATGACCAAACAATCTAACCTCATATAATTGTGAGTTGCCCAACAAAAGTAGCCTGAATCTCAACACACCAAAGTACTCGCAAGAAGAGTTTTACAAACATTTTCTCTGTATCATAGACTTTTGTTAGATATAATGAGAATAAATAAAAAAACTGAACATGGACCTATAGGAATTGTTTTTGTAATCGTGAACGTCTCCCATGTTTCTGCATTAATAAATAATAAGTGCATATAAAACAAAATATCACTAAAAATAAACTGATTACTTTGATAATATGATCTGAACAAACTGATGATAAACTTAAAACTAAACTAAACATATAATCAGTTCACTAAAACAAAAACAAAATTAAAAGACTGATTGAGCTAATGTGTAAAATACAAATTACTTTTGCACAAACGAACAAACAAAGACAACAAATGTGCCACTTAAGCCTAACAAAAATGGGAAAGGCAATCAATTACATTAGTGTATATTGTAACCTTGCTACAGAAATAAGGAAACTCATGTACAATGACTTGCACTAATGTCAGTTCCCAAATCAAAGGCATCATGAAATATACAGAATCTGAGAATCCATTTCAGGATTAAAATTGCACCATCCTTAAATTTAAAAAAGAAAAGAAAATGAATTCTTTTTTAATAACAGAAAACCAAACATAAGTGAAAGAAGTCTCTTTCATTTCATTGCTTTAAGAATCAATGTACAAATTTGAATTTGTGTGACTGAAGTGTCCATTAATGCTAGAAATAATATTTTAAGTAATACATACAAAGATATGAAACCTTAAGAATACTATTTGTGTGAGAAATACTTAATCAAACAAATGCTAGACTGTAAAATGTAGGGAAGGAGAAGAGCCAATTATCTTCCCATGACCTCGTACAGTCGTACCAAGAT